CTGCATTGATGTAAAAACTGATTTGGTTTGTGTTTTCAGCCAAATTTCCCTGGACAATGTTGGGGGATGGGGGGTGGGAAGCAGCTGTTTGCTCAGAAATTAGAACCGTTTGGGAGCGAAAACAGTAAATCTTGCAGATTATTATTATTATTTTTGGCTGGGGTGGAATTTGACCATCTTTGCAACGAAATGCAACTGTCTTGAATTCACAGGTCTTGAGATGTCGATGGGAATCATTCACCCAGGTCTTGCAAACCCAGAGACAAGATAGGGAGAAAAGATGACCCCGTAACTGTGGGGCAATTCTTTGCGAGAGCTGGTCAGAAAACGGGGGGAAATATTTATGGAGGAAAACAACTGATTGAAAGTTTTCACCTGATTTTTTTAAATTATACACACAAGAGTTTCCAACCAGCTCTGTGCTCTACACAATAATTGCCATGTATCTACTACACCTTGCAGAACCCGGAGGTACAGGCCAATCTCATCCTCTCTCTGCCGCTTGTTGAGCTGGTCAAGAAACAGAAGGAAGGTTCCCTGTCACCAGAGAGCGTCCTCTACACGTACATGGACAAGGTGAGGAAGTCATTCCTTCTTCAAGACAGCAAGGATGTGGTTAAAGCACTGGGTTGGGACTCAGGTGATCTGGCTTCAATTGTAGACTCTGACACACACCTCCCTGTGTGTCCTTGGGCAAGTGAATTAATCTGCCTTGATCTCAGCTAACCAACTGTAAAGTGGGGATTATAACGCTCCCTTTAACTTGCTATTTGTAAGCTCTTCCAGACAGGGACTGATGCATTATGTGTCTGAACAGCGCCTAGCACAATGAGTGGCCCTGATTTTGGTTGGGTCCTCCAGGCCTGCTCTAACAGATACAGTAATAATAACTGGTGCTAGATTTAGGATAAACTGGGATGGTTTGCTTAAAATTTCTCTTTGAAGTAAATTATCAGAGTTGCTTAGATCTAGGGCTGGCCCTCTGCACTAGGGCAAATTTCCCCCATAAACTTGTTAGGAGTTTTTCCTGGAGCAATGCCACTTAGGGCTTGTCTGTCTACACACGAAAGTTGTTCCTGATTAGGTCCCTGGGTGGAAATGTTTATTGCGGAGAGATAATGTCTTGTTCTGTCGTGTATTGAAAACTGTGAAAATTGTGATCTATCACTTTAAGTTCTCAGGTTTTCCTCATCCTCCTTGCACACCAGGGTGCTCTGTAGGGAAGCATAAGACCTGCCTAGCACGCAGCAGCAGTCAGTCTGCAGCTAGCCAGCTAGAGTAAGGTGGGGTGAGTTGTGCCTTTATATCTTAGGGAGCAGCCTGTTTTGTCTCTCTCTTGTTTTTTTTTTTTGTTCATTCTTGTGTGTGTGTGTGTTATGGGTCTGAATTCTGAGAAGTAAAGTTGTGTTACATTGTAACCTTGCAGCAATAGTATTTTATGTTTTTTTTTATCTAACTCCATTGTTTCTATGCCATGAAACACAATAAGGCATTCTTGTTTCAGAATAAGTGTGTCCACACATGGAGTTAATCAGGAATAGCTATTGCACTTTAACTTCACACCCTACCTTAATCGGAAACAACTTTCAAGTGTAGACCTGGGTAAAAGGTTTTGCTTTTCTTCCTTAGTTATAAAGCATAAACTCAGATGCAGGGTGAATTAAAGGTCTAAAGAGGTGAATGACCCTTTCTTTCCCTCCTGTGTTTCCTCGGCAAGGCCTTAGAAGTGAACCGGGACGTGAACTGTGTGACGGATTTTATTCAGGAGTGTGTGCACCTGCTCCAGGAAGTGAGGACACAAAAAGAGAAAGGGTTGTTGTATGGAGTTCCCGTCAGTATCAAGGATCCCATTGGATACGAGGTGCTTCTGTATTTCCTTTTTTTAAAAGAAGTATGTAATGTTGAGATAAGGGAGTGCAATACGTTGGGGTTGGTAATAAAATACACGGACCACTATATTGACAGGTATAAAGAGGAATTGATATGGTAAAAGTGCTAGTTGGTGTGTCTGTGCACCACTGCCCTCTGCTGGATAGAAGTGGAACTGTCCATATGTGTCAAAAGCTCGATGCTGCGGACAGTGAACAGAGATTCTCCTTTAGTCAACTGATAGGGGGCTGTGCTTTTGGAGCAGGGGGTCTGAGTTCTATCCCTACTGATGCCGTGAAGTTCCAGGTGGCTGTGGATTCATTACAGTGTCATTAAACTTAATTAAAAGTATTGGCTCAGCCCTGAAATATCGGTGAGCTTGATTATGGCTCTGCCATCAGAGTGTGAGTGCAATGAGGCTGCACTGAAACAGCGTCATGGCCAGGTTGGCAGAAAGATCCCTGTGATCTACTGAGTCAGCTCCCTTGAGGGGTTTGGAGAGATCAAGGGGGTGGCTTGCAGAGGGCTGCTGGGGCAAAAGGGGGTGTCAGACTGTAAGAAGGCGTCTCATGGCTGGGACTGGAGAGCAGTTAGGATATGGGGGCGGAAATCGCTCAGCAATATAACCCCCAGGAGAGAGAGGAGGGCCTTCAATGGAGCTGCCAGCCCTTGTATTATCATTAGTGGCCACGTACCAGAGGACACTGGGAGGCAGCTGCCTGTCCGTTTCCACCCCTCACGTTAGGGCTCAGAGGTTCCATCCGTGGTGACCATGGCGTCAGTCCCATGTATCTAACATGCTCTATGTCTGCCCCCATTCCAAGGGTCATGTCTCCACCTGTGGCTTGGGACAGTACCTCGGCTACCCGGAGCAAGAGGACAGCGTCTTAGTGAAGGTGCTGAAGAAGCAGGGGGCCATTCCGTTTGTGAAAACCAACATCTCCCAGTGCTTGATCAAGTAATTGGCTGGTTCTCCTTGTGACAAGGATTGCTACTTTTCCGTACCCCCTGCCCTGGCGATCAGTGTGGGAGGGTGGAAAGACAGCCATTGACTTGGGTAGCCTTCAAATCTGGCCCTCAGTGCTTAGTGAGAGAGAGAAACACCAGAGGCCAGACTGTCATCGCCTTGCCTGTGTGACTAATCATGTTGGCTCAGATCCAAAGGTATTTAGGCACCTAACGTCAGTCAAAATCAATGGGAGTTAGGCGCCTAATAATCTCTGAGGACCTGGGCCGTTACCTTCGCCGGGATTACTCCGAGCAGCAAGGCGGTCCCAACTGGACCGTGACGATTCAAGATCCAGTGGCAGTTAATGTAGCCTTCTCTCTGTGCTCAGTATAGGGTGCTCCCCACCCCACCAGAGAGGGCCTTCCCAGCGCTGCTGGGAACTCTAATGGAAAGAGGTGAGCGAGAGCCACGCGGCTCTGAGTCACTCTGTGCACTTGGGGCGGCTCAGGTCCTGCTCCCCCTTCCTGCGTTTACCTCAGAAATGCTCACACAGGACAGCAGCAAGGGCGCCGGCAGCTCCCACTGGGAGGCAGTTTCCATGCAGTCCTCTTGCTTTTCCGTCAGCCGCAGTAGTCCAGGCACCTATGCAGGAGAAATATGCCGAGTCTACTGCTCTCCAATAAATAGGGCCCTACCAATTTCACCGCCGTGATAAACGTGCCACGGACCATGAAATAAGTCCTGCCCAATGAAATCCGATCTCCCCCGTGCTGCTGGGAGTGCCCCAGCTGGGGGCTCGTAGCTGCTAGTCCAGGCGAGCTGGGGTGGGACATGACTTGTCCTTCCCCTGCACTACTGCTCTCGGTGGGGAGATCAGACCCACCTCCAGAGACAGTGCAGAAGTGAGGGTGGTACACCCTCACTTCTGTGCTGCAGCAACCCCGGAGCTGGGCTCGGGGCGCCCCCAAATTGTCCAGAGCTCCTGGGCACAGTTAATCCACCACTGGCCAAGACTAGTAGCTAGGAGACCCTGGCTGGGGCACTCCCAGCCGCAAGGGGGAGATCAGACCCACCTCCGGGAACCTCCTCCAGCTGCAGGAAGCTCCGGGGCTGCAAGAAATGAGAGTGGCAATCCTGTGACCCTCTACAACAGCTTTGCAACCCCCCTTTTGGGTCGGTTACAACACTGTGACATTTCAGATGTAAACATCTGAAAATGTGAAATTGACTAATTTTTCAAATCCTATGGTAGCGAAATTGACCAGAATGGACCATGAATTTGGTAGGGCCCTACCAGTAAAGGACTCTATTGTAGGTGAATCAGGGGCATCATGGAGACCCAACCTTCTACCCCCCCCCTCCTCCGCCCGCCGTTGTTCTCCAGTTGTGAGCTGTGTTGTGCCTTATTCACTAGCAGCGAGCGGCCTATGCTTGTCCCCTTTATTGAGATCACTGTTGAAGCAGGAGTCAGCACATTTGGTCTTGGCTGATCTGCTGGGCTCTGCTGCCCGTTGGCTTCACTGGTCTTTTGAGTGGAGATTTGGGTGCCATAATAAGGTGAGGTGAGGTGTCCCGGTAAGGTGAAAGGTTAAGCAGGCCTCCACGGTGCTGAAGGACACGGAAGGGAATGTGATGTAGGGAACGCAGCTCACTTCCATTAACTGATTGCTGCTTTCCGTCTCACTCAGCTACGACTGCAGCAACTTGATCTTCGGCCAGACGGTGAATCCGCTGAACCACCAGAAAAGCCCCGGCGGCTC